TTGGCTGACTGGAGAGGGCCTTATCCTGTGTCACCTCCCACCTCCCCTCAACCTCCTCCTTCTTAAAAATTGTATTTAGAAGTTACAACTTTGGCTGAGATTTTCATGATTTCTCCTTTTTCCCATTACACTTCCCAAAAGCCCTGACAAAGAACTTTTGTTTTTGGTGAATTTTACAGAGGGCGCTCCCCCACCACACATGTGGTCTTTCATGGGTCAAGGGTTGTCCAGCCCAGGAGTGGCTGAGAAGGCTGAAGCAAAGGTAACCTGCAACTTAATATCCTGCTGATGAGCCTGTTGAATTTATGAGTCTGTGATAGCAAAGATGGTACTGGAATTCTGTGAAATCCTCCTTTTTTGTTGGAAGGGGATGGGGTGAACCTTAGTTATATTAGACAGTTTATTTCACGTTTGTTTCCTCTTATCTCTTTCCCCAACTCTCATTTCCATCCCTTGCTTTAGAAGAAAATTGAGAAAAGAAAATTGAATGTTTGAATTGTGCTTGTGCTTTTCAATTAGGGTCGATTTAGGGTCGATTTTGTTCCAGTCCCCCACCCACACCACCCAACCCTGTCTGATTTGCAATAGATGCCTGTGTGAGAGTATTTTGCATGTGTTTATACACTGTACTTGTGTACACGGACACGAAATACACATGCTACCACAAAAGAACTCGGTCCACACGGTTCACAGGCATCCACAAACTTTGACAAGGTGAGGCATTCAGTGAAATGAATGCTTTGGGGCAGCGGGGGTTGTCTATTTCTGGAAGGCAATTTGAATTTTCCAATTGCCCTATAATTCTCTACACTCCCCCAGAAATGAACGCCCATCTGTGTACCTACGGGTCCGCCACGCCGATCTATTTCACATATAGCAAAGCCGCTAAGGAGGACTGCCCTTTCCCAACTCCCTTACCTGCCCCTCCCCCAGGTACCCACCCAGCCCCAAAGCAAGTTCCGTTAGATTTAGAAAGAACGATTTTAGAAAACTTACAAAGAGGGGGCGTGTTTGCCCGTGGAGACACCACCTCAGTTCGGCCCTTCCAGAAACCTGTTGAAAAATTAAATTCACTCTCACCGTCTGTAACGCAGCTTTGATGATTTTTTTTCCTTTACGAAGGAACCTGAATCTACTTTGAGACAATAATTATAAATCTGAAAGCCTTTACAGGTTTCCCACCCCCACCCCCCCTTGCTCTCTTTCCTCTCTCTCTCAAAAAAGTACTGTGTCTTGAGGGAAAGAGGTTTTGCGGTTTGTAGAGAAATAAAGCTCTTCTGAGAGGGGACGGCGACGTGACTTTGAACTTGGCTCAGCTTCTCTGTGTCCTGCAGAGAGAGAACTGGAGCTGGGAAAGAATAGCCGTGAGGGCCCAGCCCTCGGGGTCTCCGGTGGGAATTACCGCGTCCCCCACCACCCCGCCGCTCGTAGCTCTCGGAATCTGGCGCTAGCAAGCGCCCAGCGGCGCCATCCCAAACGCAGGCCCAGAAAAAGGAAAAATCAAAGGGAAAGGCGAGAATGGGTCTTCGGAGAGAGGGAGGAAGTGAGAAAATGGGAAAGAAGGAAACTGGAGGAAGTCAAATGGCTCGTAAGAATAAAGAGGAAAGGGAGTGCGTGGTCTTTGGATGTGCAGAACCCCTAATATCCCCAAGCAAGCTTTAAGAAACTGTTTTCTTTGGGAAATATTTTTGGAAGAAGCCTTTCCAATTGTTCCTCTCTGGGTTCTTCGCAATAGAAATAAATTGATGAGCAGGTATATTGAGTAAACAAGTGGTAGAAGTGGCGCGCTGGACCATTTTTCATTGATTCAATGTAGCAGGGCAGATTTTCTGCCTGTAGATTGGCTCGGTTCTTTCTAGCACACTCCCAGGTCCCTCTCCGTCTAAGGGGCCAAGTTTGGCATCTGCTGCCCCCCAGCCCCGGTCCCCTTTTGTAAAGAAATACGGAAAAGACACAAATGTCTTCCTTGTAGTAAAGTCAGGGATCTCCAATCTCCTAGCAAATTTTCCAGCTTTTACACAGGTGCCGCGGCCTCCATCCTACTTGTCTACCCGCCCACCTCCGCCCCCAACCCCAGCCCAATGCGGGGGATGGGGGTGGGGTGGAGTGGACAGCCCGGCAGTGCCGGGCCTCTTGCCTTAGAAGTTTCCTTTCAGAGCCACCTAAGCCCAGAGCGGGTCTGTGCTGCCAGGCGAGCCCCAGGTTTTGCCAGCAACCGTGAGATGAAGGCTTCCCGATTTTTAAATTTCAACTTGAAATTTTGCAGTACGCATTGATTCTTTTATGTTACTTGAATTTATTTGAACTCCCAGAGATTTAGAAATAAGAGGTGGTTTCTACACCAGTCAGGCGAAGAAAGAAGCTAGCTTCAGTCCTTCCCTTCGTACCGCCTCCGGGCGGGCCAGTCCGCCCTCCCGCTACCCCTGAGCGCGAGCTTGGCGCTGCGGGCCAGGAAATACCCACACCCTGCAGCCTGCGACGCCGGCGCGACCAGAGCCGCCAGGCCGTCCAGCTGACCCGACTCGGGCAGTGGCTGCGCGGATAGCAACTTCGCTGCCCCGCCACCGCCCGGGGTGGGGGGCAGGGCTCCCCGCTCTCGAAGAAAGAGCGATGTTTAAATACCTTCTGAGAAGGTTTAAACGCTAACAAGACTGGTGCTTTCTCCAGAGGCCCTGAGCCTGACCCCGCTGTCCATCCCCGGCCTGAGTCTCCCTGAACCGCGCGCCGCGGGCCTCCCCGGACTTCCCACCCTACTGTGGCAGCAGCCCCGGCTTGTGGGCATCCACCTCGAGGGCGACGCTGTCTTTAAAACCACTTCCAAAACAACCCCCTGCCTCGCGGGGCCGCTGCCCAGTGTTTACGGCTGTAATTGGAGCAGGACGTGAGCTGCGGGGGGAGCGGAGAGCACGGGGAGCGACAGTAAGGTCCATGGCCCAGGGGACGCTATCTGGGTGAGCGGCCCGGGAGTGACAGGAAGAAGAATGCTTGGTTTTATCCATGCCCGCCGTCCTGCACCTGTGTTTTCAGTAACACGGCAAGTTTACAAGGGAGGAGGGGACGTGGGTGCGAGACCCGGGCCAAGAACTTGGGCCCAAGCGACTCCCGGCAGAGCGCACCAGGAGGGGCCCCAGGCCAGCAGTGGCCCCGTGCGCGGTGCCTCCCGCCGGGTGACCAGATCGAGTAGCCCGTGGGTCTAGATCTGGAATCCTGGGAGGTTAGGTGGCCGCCAGGAGTGGCTCGGGTCTCTGGGGAGACAGTGGCCTCTACAGAAGGGTGCGCCCTCGTGGTGCCGCCCCCCTCCAGGTCCAGGCACAATCACGGCAGTGCGACCCGAAGGCCCCGGCCCGCACTTCAGCCGCCCAACTTCGAGACCGTGGGGCACAGGGGCCAGGACTCGGAGCAACAGCGCCAGACTCGCGGGCCGTCCGGGAGAAGCTGGCAAGTCGGGCCAGCGGCCACGCCAGCCCGCGGCTGCAGAGCGCCGGGGGCTCCAGGGAGGAGGGACAGGGCCGGCATGGAGCGGGGGCATCGGATTGACAGGAGTGAGGCGACCAATGGCAGTGCGGGGAGAGCGGGCGGGGCGGGAGCCGCTGTTAAAGGGGCGGTGTGACCGGGAGGCCTGGCCCGGAGTGGGAGAGAAAGAGGGAGGGAGGCCGTGGAAGGCTAGGACCGGCGGACAGGAGTGGGGTGTTGGTGGGGGGGGGTGAACGTCAGAAGAAGAGGAAAAGGAGGAGACAAAAAAATAAAAAGCGGCGGCGGCGGCGGCGCCCACTGAAATAAACAAAGGCGGAGGAGGTGGTGACACACAGAGCCCAACACCGCCCCAGAGTGGAAATCCGCTTTGGCCTCCTCACGTTTGCTCAGTCTGCAGACTCGGCTCGGTCCTCGCGGGGACGGCCACGCGTTTCCAGGTCGGCGGCGAGGGCCGACTCGGGTGGGGAGTGAGCGAAAGAGATCACTTTTCTTATTGTTATTGTTTTTCAGTCCTGTCTCCCCACTCTTCCCCTCCCCCCTCTTCGCCTTTTCCCCTCCCACAGCCCCCTCCGCCCCCCCGCCCCCGCCGCCTCCTCTGGCACAACTTAAAGAAAGAAGGAGCGGCGCGTCGCTTCCTTCATCTGCGGGAATTCGTGGCCGCTGCAAGTTTACAACGCCAGGCGCAGGCAATGCCCAGCGCGGAGAAGCAGGAGAGGGACAAACCCTGTGGCCGTAGCGCCGAACAATAACTGCCCCGCGCGGGGCGGCGCGAGCCGGCCTGGGGGAGGGGGGACTTGGGGGAAGGAGCGGCCGCCGCCCCAGCGCCCTCGGAGCCCCGTCGCGGTCAGGTGGAGCCCGGCCCGGACGCCGAGGGGAGAGCGCCCTGTCGGCGTGCGTATTTCTAGCCTCCACACCGCCTCTGGGCTTGGATTCCGTGGCTTCGCCGCAGCTGTGATTTCGTTGTTTTTCCCAGTGCCGATTTGTGCGGCGGGACCCCGGTCCGCTGGGCGTGTGAGCGAGCGCGTGTGTTCGTGCGCGCGCGAGTGCGCGCAGGGTGGGGGCCGCGGCGCAGCCCCGGCGCTGCGCTCGCCCCCCGGCGTCCCCCCTCTCCGCTCTGATCCGCTCCCCACACCTCCCTCCTGCTCCCTCCTCCCGCCCGCCCTCCCTCCCCTGCACTGCCTGCCCGCCCGCCCCCGCCGCAGCTCCTTTAATACACTTTGGTTCTCCGCCTAGCTTAGGACTCTTCTCCTCCTCCACCTCCTCCTCCGCGCCTCCTCCTCCACCTCCTCCTCCTCCTTTTCCTCTCCCCGTTCTTCTCTCCGCGCCTGGCCGCCAGAGGCAGATCCAGGCTGCAGCGGCAGCGGAGTCGGCGGGCGCCGGAGCGCGGCTCCCGGGGCTGAAGACGCCACCGCCTTCTGCACCCAGAACCGAGCGGCCACCGGACGCGCCGTGCGCCGAGCCGGGTCCGGGACAGCGCGGAGGTGCAGGGCTCGCCGGGGCCGGCGGGGCGGGCGGGCGCGCTGGCCATGCTCCTGGACGCGGGGCCGCAGTTCTCGGCCATCGGGGTGGGCAGCTTCGCGCGCCACCATCACCATTCGGCTGCTGCAGCGGCGGCTGCGGCCGCCGAGATGCAGGACCGAGAACTGAGTTTGGCAGCGGCACAGAACGGCTTCGTAGACTCGGCGGCCGCGCACATGGGCGCTTTCAAGCTCAACCCGGGCGCGCATGAACTGTCCCCCGGCCAGAGCTCGGCATTCACGTCTCAGGGCCCGGGCGCCTACCCGGGCTCCGCTGCCGCGGCTGCCGCTGCCGCCGCGCTCGGGCCCCATGCAGCCCACGTCGGCTCCTACTCCGGGCCGCCCTTCAACTCCACCCGGGACTTCCTGTTTCGCAGTCGCGGCTTTGGGGACTCAGCGCCAGGCAGTGGGCAGCATGGGTTGTTCGGGCCGGGAGCAGGCGGCCTGCACCACGCGCACTCGGACGCGCAAGGCCACCTTCTCTTCCCTGGCCTCCCAGAGCAGCATGGGCCGCACAGCTCGCAGAATGTGCTCAACGGGCAGATGCGCCTCGGGCTGCCGGGTGAGGTGTTCGGGCGCTCGGAGCAGTACCGTCAGGTGGCCAGCCCGCGGACCGACCCCTATTCGGCAGCGCAGCTCCACAACCAGTATGGCCCTATGAATATGAACATGGGTATGAACATGGCAGCGGCCGCGGCCCACCATCACCACCACCACCACCACCCCGGTGCCTTTTTCCGCTATATGCGACAGCAGTGCATCAAGCAGGAACTCATCTGCAAGTGGATCGACCCTGAGCAACTGAGCAACCCCAAGAAGAGCTGCAACAAAACTTTCAGCACCATGCACGAGCTGGTGACCCACGTCTCCGTGGAGCACGTCGGCGGCCCGGAGCAGAGCAACCATGTCTGCTTCTGGGAGGAGTGCCCGCGCGAGGGCAAACCCTTCAAGGCCAAATACAAACTAGTCAACCACATTCGCGTGCACACCGGCGAGAAGCCTTTTCCCTGCCCCTTCCCAGGCTGCGGCAAGGTCTTCGCGCGTTCCGAGAACCTCAAGATCCACAAAAGGACCCACACAGGTAACCACGGGCCGCCACAGGAACAGGGCACAGAGGGGCGAGAGGCTGCGGTTGGTTTATTGGGAGAAGCGCGCGGGCCGCCACCCCCGGCCCTGACATGGTAGCTGTTTTTGTGTGTGCGAGCAAGCCAGCCAGCCGCGTATTTTTGTTGGAAAAGGAAAGAATATTATTGGGTTGGGTTTTTCCATTTGCGGAAATAGCGTTTTAAGTCATCAGTGAAACATCAAATGTATGTTTTAGGTGATGGAAACGCTTCGTTTGCTCAGCCCTGGTTAATAATTTCCGTTCTAAATAAAATGCACCATATCAAACTGGCCCCTCCGTGCCCGGGAATTCAGCCTAGCCAGGATTTTGCCAGCTTGCCTGAATGTGCTTTTCTGCTCCGCGTGTGTGTCTGTTTGAGGGCCCTGTGTTTTTCCCACTTCTTTTACAAGAGGTCCAAATGCCCTTCCTCGGACTGTTTTCCATTAAGTGAGTCTAAAGTTGTAAAACATTTCTCATTTCTAAAGTGTTTTAAAAGTCCGTTTGGGGGTGGGTCTCTAGGCTTTACGCGGGTTTTGCAGCAGTTTGTGAAATTCTCTAATGGGCATCAGCGGGTTTAAGATTCCAAATTTGGACCCCTAAACCCCGGCAGCAAGAGCCCGGGGCAATGCGGGCCCCGCGGGGGGGAGGGTGTCGCGTGAGAACTGAGAGCCGCATAAAAACGTGCCTCCTGTCTCATAGATTATTCATCTATGACCAGGTCCCAGCCAATATCGCACCAGACGATTTCCTAAAAGAAAGCCAAATGTTTTAGCAACTTCCCCCGTCAATATTTACTCCGAAGTGGGGATGAGCCAGCGGCCTATTGTTCTCTTCCGGGAAGGGAGGGAGCCGAGGTGCGAGACAAGCTTTTAACAAGGTTTAAAATTCGAGAAATTTATTTGCATGAAATGCTCGCTTTCGAGTCCTGTGCCTGAGCGGATGTCTTTACAGAACAATTTAGGTGCTAATAGAATCTAACGTTAAGTGGTCCCCTTTCCAACTGGAACGTTGTTTGAGTCCTCACACCTCTAAATGACTCCAAGCATTTGGAATTCTGGCAACAGGATGCTGAGACCGCCAGAAAATTAAGCAGGGAGATTTTGAAAGCCTTTGCTAATGTCCCCACCCCCACGGCTGTGCCGCACAACAATCATTAGCTGGATGCTGCCTTCTCCTTAATATTTCCCTTTTCTCGCTTCGTTTTTTAAAGACTGGAGACAAAGCTAAACTTGTAGTTAATCCAATCGGCAGAATTTTGGATGGAGAAAAAATACTGGCACAGCCACTACCCACAACCCCGGCCCCAAACAGCACACAGCAACTCCAAAACTAATTGCTTACTGGCCCCAAAGAGAAGCCGACGTAGCTCAGCAGCCTGTGTGATTTTAATAATGCCCCAAATATTTTGTCATAATAACAGCTTCTCCATGGCGTGACCAACTTGTGAGAAACTGCGAATCCAAGAAGCCCTATAGAAAGGCGTGCAGACTGGGCGCTCGTTAACCCCAAGTTCCTTAGAAATTTGGGGGCTGAGGGATCTCAGCTTTGAATAAACGTAAATGTTAAATAAACAGAGTGTTTGGGAGGGATGTCATTAATTTCATCTTGGGGTGCCCACAGACGGGATCTCACCTGTTTAAGGGACCCAGCTCCCTCTCCCTCCTTCCCCCACTCCCGTAATTCTTTCTCCCCGGTCAAATGGAGGGTCCCAGGCCAAAAGGTGTCAACAGCCAGCGTCCCTGTTTACCTTCCACAGGGGAGAAGCCATTCCAGTGTGAGTTCGAGGGCTGCGACCGGCGCTTTGCCAACAGCAGCGACCGGAAGAAGCACATGCACGTCCACACCTCCGATAAGCCCTATCTCTGCAAGATGTGTGACAAGTCCTACACGCACCCCAGTTCACTGCGGAAGCACATGAAGGTATCAGCGGGGCGGCCGCGTGGAGGGCGAGGCAGCCAGCTCTGCGACTAGGGCTCCCAGCCGGCCCACCAATGGAAGCCGATGGTGGCCAGGGCCCACGCGGGTTGGTCATCTCGGAGGGGCGCTCCTCGTCGCGAGCCTGGTGCCACAGCAGCTGCACTCACACCCAGTCCCCTCTGGTCTCCCCTCCCGGTTTTTGTCTTGCAGGTCCATGAGTCCTCCCCGCAAGGCTCTGAGTCCTCCCCGGCCGCCAGCTCCGGCTACGAGTCGTCCACGCCCCCGGGATTGGTGTCCCCCAGCGCCGAGCCCCAGAGCAGCTCCAACTTGTCCCCGGCGGCGGCAGCGGCGGCGGCAGCGGCCGCCGCGGTGTCGGCGGTGCACCGGAGCGGAGGCTCAGGAAGCGGAGGAGCGGGCGGAGGCTCAGGCGGTGGCGGTGGTAGCGGCGGGGGCGGCGGCGGGGCTGGTGGCGGGGGCGGCGGCGGCTCCAGTGGGGGCAGCGGGACAGCAGGAGGCCACAGCGGCCTCTCCTCCAACTTCAATGAATGGTACGTGTGAGGGGCCTTGGTCTCTCTCTCCCTGTCCCCGACCCCACCCTGGTGAAGCAGCCCTCTCAGTGCTAGCTCCAAGGGGACTTGTGATTGTGTTGTTATAATTATGAATCTGATTTTTATGATACTGAAAAAGATTTTACCAGCAGAAGGATTTTTTAAAGTTCTTTTTTTTAAGGTAGGCATGAAAAGCAAAAAAATATCACTTCCGGGAATCTCTGCAACTAAAACTATAAAATAAATAAAAATTTTAAGTTTTTTTTTAAACCAAGAAAAATATTGAACCAAACCCTCCTGCCTCCTGTCCGTCCCCATGCCCCCTGCCCCAGTCTCTGATAAACTGTACATAGCAAACTCCTCCTTCCTTCTCTGAGGTGGTTTTAATGGATTCTTGGTGTATAGAAGTTTGTCTGTTTGTAAAAAAAAAAACAACCTCCTGGTTGCATTTCCTTCTTGCCTTCTCACCTTCCCCAAGTGATGGACTTTCTCTTTTCTCTTTTTTAGTTCACCCAGTTTCTTTTTTAAGTAAAGTGGAAGAAAATGGCTTATTTTGTATTGTGGTATAGAATATTGTGTTCATTTTTATGAGGCAACTTGATTGTAAACTTCATGCAACTATAGACTGGAAAAAAGAAAAAGGAAAAAAAAAAAAGAACTGTGCCAAAGTCTCCCTTCTGTTCCTTCTTCAACACACCAATCCACAGCACACACACTCCACCACCACCACCGCTTGTGAATGTATTTTTCTGTTAGCTGGGTTTACCTGTGATGTTTAGTGCTTTTGCAAGTTAAATTTGTTAGTTCCTGTATGAAAGATTGTGGGGTGGGGGGGGAATAAACGTTGTGCCGTTAGCTTTTTCCGTAAAGACACGCCCTTCCTTTTGTAAATACCCGTTACCATATTTATCCATTTGTAATTAAATTATGGTATTAACTTGCTACAGAGGAAACAATATTTATAAAGAATGTTTCTTAACTATAAATATGTACACTTGTGGGCATAAACTGTTTCAGATTTTTTATTTGAAGGTTTTAAGTGGTTTGATCATTTCTTGTGATATGTTTTGAGAGTAATGCATACAGAAATATAATAAAATGTGTTGAAACTGCATGAACATTATTTTTTCCTCCTAGTAATGTTATTAAAGGAAAAACAAAGACAGGGGAGCTAGCTGAGGGTTTGGATAGTCCTTCCTGAGAGTGAATGAGAGGCCCCACCACACATTCTGGGATAGAAGGTGTATGTATGCTATTTAGAAATGAGGCCAGAACTGCCCCTTTGGCAGAAAGTCTCAAAATTATGTTCTCCATTCTTTGTTTAGTAGCTGAGAAGGAATTAAATTTTTGGAAAGGCACAGTGAGGAGGGCTGCAGGGTCCATTATCTAAGGGAATGCCTTCCTTTCTTTGAGCTATTTGGGCTGGATTTAAGAGCACTAAACATTTCCTTATTCTTTGTTTTCCCCATTCCCTGCCCCCTTTCCTTTCCCTCCCTCTCTGAAAAGCCGAGGTACTGTTATTTTTAATTGCAAGCTCTAAACTGAGTTGAGTACTTTTGTTTTTGAACTTGGCCCAATGATTAAAGTTTAAGGGCCTAGCTCTTATGAAAAGTTTTGCTCTCCCCCCCCTTGCAATTTTAAGCAGAGAGCTTGCTTTACAAATTCTGCTTATCTGCACAGCTGCTGTGCTTCAATAAATAGGATGTTCAAGAGAACGTGATAAATTAAGCACCTTTTCTTTTGTGAAAATGGATAGGAAAGCAACAGACTGTTGGCCCAAAACGAAAGAGCCTTTCAAGAACTCGGGCAAATAAACATGAACAAAATAGAAGGACTTATATTGTCAAGTTGAAACACTGAACATCAGCTTTCTACAGTCTAGCAACCTTGTCATCCCCTGCAGGAGTTTACCAGAGTTGTCCAACAGAAGATGCTCTGAGAAAGAAGTATTTTTCATAGCCACGAGGAAATTTTAATTTTAAATCAGTCATTTAGACATCTTCATCTCCTTGAATGTCCCCTCTATTTTCTAGAGACCCAAACAGCTCTCAAGCCACCCTTTGCAGTGAAAGGCAACACTGACCAGTACATGGACAGTACAGGGATACCTTCAGAGAATCTCTGAGCACACAGGGACGGTTGCTCCCATCGAGTTCCCCTCCTGCCTGTGGACTGCCTCTGCAAGGCCAGGCTGGTCAAGCCCAAGGGCCTCGGGTTGGGGAGGGGGGTCAGTGGGGGGCTGACCTTAGCTAGGCTACAGTACTTGTTCAGTGAAGAGGGAAACACTAATGCGTGTATGTTTGTGTGACCCAGAGGGTGATAGACATGGTGGCTACCCTCCCCAACAGCCCCTCAGAGCCTGTTCAAACGCCAACTTCTGGAACAATCAACTCCCTATTAAAATCAAATTTATAACCCCTAATAATATTAAGCAAAATTATTGAAATAATTGACATGTGTTACTGATCCTTGGGGGAACGCTTGGTTGAACACATAATAAGGTGATGAAAATAGTTTGGGACTCTGAAAAATCCTAGCCTTGTTTTTTTTGGGGGGGGGAATCGCTGAGGAGAATGGACAAGCCAGATTAAGTATTTGTCATAACCTATTATGCAACAATAAATGGCCTATTCCAAATGATTAAAACTTTTTTTTTACGGGGGTGGGATTGGGGGGAGGGGGAGTGGAAATTGTTGGTTTTGAGACATCTCCGACATTTAAGAAAGAAGGACCACTGGGGTGGGAGTGGTGAGCAACTTTAGCTCAACTCAGGGCCTTGGGACTTGTCTTATTTAAGGAAAAGGGCAAACAGCTGGAAAATGATAAAGATCTCACAGCCATCAGCTTTTGGTTCCAACTTTATCCAGATCAGAATTTAGGGGACAGCTCCCGGAGGTCTCTTTCAGTTCTGGGGAATGGGATGAAGCGAGAATAAAAGGGAAAGCTTGGTGAAGGAGAGCCCAGGTTAGGAGCGGTCTGCTAATTGACGCCGGGAAGCGCCAGGCGCGTGGGAACTGCTTTCTCCCAAAACAGTCTCGCGATCCACGACTTTATCCAAACCAGCCGTGGACC